GTGGACAATCCTCGCATGTCATTGCCCAGATGCAGTTAGGCGGCGCGCATTGCCTAGCGTGTCTGGCAGCGCCCAGCGGGGCAATGTAGAGACAGCCGGGCGGTGCGCACGGCCTGGCGGGTCTGGCACAATTGCGAACCCCGAGAGAGCTCCAGGCTGGGGGGAGCTGGCCGCTCCTGCTGCGGCTCGAGCCTCAGGCAGGGGAGGGCTTGGCCCCCCCTGCTGCGGCTCAGGCGCTGGAAGTGCTACACAGGAGTTGGGCGCCCGAGTTATCCGGGGTATCTCGGGTCCGGGGTAACTCGGGTTAAGATTCCCGAAAAAGGAACCCGAATTAGCCCTGACCCGAGTTACCCCTGATGATGTGGGGCTCTGGACGCCCGAATTATCTGGGGTAACTCGGGTCCGGGGTGACTCGGGTTCGGAATCCCGAAAAACGAATCCGAGTTAGCCCTGACCCGAGTTACCCCTGATGATTCGGGGCTCTGAAGGCGTGCACGAGCTCACGCGACGAAGCCCCCGAGTGCCGGGCAGCGCGGTGCGGGCGATGGGCCGGCCGTCCGAGGGCAGGTCACCGCGTGGAAGTGCGCCGCCTCCGGGGAGCTCTGGTGGAGGCGTGCCCACCATGTGCACCGGAACTGCCACGCCCCGACGCTCGAGCGGACCCCTGCCCACAAGGGCTCGGAGGCGGTGCTGGCTGACCCCGATGCTGGTTTGTTGCACGCTGTCGGGAATGCTTGGGCCGACATGCTCGTCGAGTGGGGTTCCGAGCCTCACGGAGTTCCGAATGCGATGGTCGAGACTCACGTGAGGGGGCTTAAAAGTGTGCCAAAGCCAAGTCGGATGTATCCGCTTGGAGGGTTTGGCCCAGAAGTCGGCCGAGCTCATGCCCAGGAGTGCTCACCCGCCTCGGCCCTCTCGGGACCCCGACCTCGTGCTCTCCACGACCCGGCACGACCTCTTGCGTTTTTGCGAGCGCGCGTGGCCATGGGTGTCTGCACTGCAATCGGTTCGCGCGCACGCCGTACAGTCTGCGTGCGCCGCGCGCGATTGTGCGTGTGAGGCCACGGCAGCACATGCGGGAGCGGCAACGAGGTTCTGTGCCGCTCTGCCCCCGCCTGCGTGGCAAGCCGCCCGCTCTGAGGCCGTGTCGGAGGCGATCCGGGCCGCAGAACTGCTTGAGGCCGAGGCCCAGGAGCCTTCGCTCCCTCCTCCTCCTCCTCCTCCTCGTCGTGCCGGGGGCGGGGGAGAAGGAGGAGGAGGAGGAGGAGAAGGAGGAGGAGGAGGCGGAGGAGGAAGAGGAGGAAGAGGAGGCTGAGGAGGAAGAGGAGGAGGAGGCGAAGGAGGAGATGAGGAGGAAGAGGAGCAGGAGGAGGAAGAGGATAGGGGGGAGGAGGACAAGGAGGAGGAGGAGGAGGAGGACGAGGAGGAGGACGGGAGGAGGACGAGGAGGAGGACGAGGAGGAGGACGAGGAGGGCATCCTCCCGTGGCGTGCGGGCGCGGCTCTCCTCCGCCTCGAGCGCGGCGGGGGTGCCCCGCGGGGCAGGGGCGCAGCCCCGAGCTCAGCGCCACGTGCGGAGGGCGCCCGGGGGGCCAAGAGCACCCTGGCCGAGGCGCGCGCCCGAGCGCCGCGCGCCCCCCAAGGGGGCGCACTCCCAGGTCTTGAGCTCTCCCTACTCCTGGTCCTCCTCCTCCTCCTCCTCCTCCTCCTCCTTCTCCACCTCGTCCTCCCTCCTCCCTCCTCCTCCTCCTCCTTCTCCTCCTCCTCCTCCTCCTCCTTCTCTCCTCCTCCTCCTCCTCCTCCTCCTCCTCTCCTCCTTAACCGGGGAACCGCCCCTACTCCTGGTCCTGTGGCGCCGCTGCCGCCTCTCTGTCGCTCTCTCTCCCTCTCTCTCTCTGTCTCGGTGTGGTTTTTCCGTGACTCGGCTGCCCCCTGCTGGCCCGCAGCCTCCCTTCTCCGACTCCTCGTCCTCCTCCTCCTCCTCCTCCTCCTCCTCCTCCTGCATTCCTCCTCCTCCTCCTCCTCCTCCTCCTCCTCATCCTCCATTCCTTTCTTCATGAATACCTCCTCCCTGTCGCATCCCAGGGCCAGTCGGACGGGTTGGCCAGGCGTTCCGTTTGAGACTCCCTCACCATCTACAAGCCTGAAATTTACATTGCAACAACTTGACGGGTGGAGAGCGGGTGGCTTTGAACCGGCGGCTCTTGTCTCAGCGCCGCACACATCAAACAGATGCAAGGGATTCACGGAGAGAGGGCGGATCGCTTGCAAAATGCAGCTCTCGCCTTAGTGCCGCGCACATTTCACACACATTCAAGACCTTCACGAACGGGGGCGCGTCGTTTTCATAATGTGGTTCCCGCCTCAGCGCCGCGAACATCCGTCATCAATAACTGTAAGAGCTTCGCGGATGGAGGGCGGGCCGTTTTCAAAATGTGGCTATCGCCTGAGCGCCGAGCACATTCCTTTCAAATATTCGTCGCATGGAGGGCGGGTCGTTTTCAAAATGTTGATCTCCCCTCCAACATTCGTCTAACACATTGCAAGGGCTTCACGGATGGAGGGCGGGTCGCTTTCAAACATGTGGCTCTCGCCTCAGTGTCACACTCAGTCGTGCTAAAAACATTGTAAGGGCTTCGCGAATGGAGGGCGGGCCGTTTTCAAAATGTGGCGTTCGCCATGGCGCCGCGCAGATTCGTTTCAAACATGTGCGCATGGAGGGCGGGCTGTTTGCAAAACGTGATTCTCGCCCTAAGAAGCCTCAAATGGGGCCCTCGCCTCTGCGCGGCGCACAGTCGTCTCAACGGGCTCTTATGTGGCATCCGCGGGGGACCTTGTCTGTCCCCTCTCGGCCCTATCCGCGTCGACTCCGTGCCGAATCCATGTCGGACTCGTCGGGCCCGTGCCGAGTCCACATCGGATCCACGACAAGTCCGCGTCGAGCCCGCGGCGGGCAAAGGTTGGTCGGGAGCGGCCAAGAGGGGGGTGTCCAAGAGGGGGGGGGTGCAAATCATGGCCGGCGGCACGTGCGCGGCCCAGGGTGGGGGCCAGGAACGTAATGAAACAAGAAGAGGCGCCATGACATCTGGGGAAATGTCATGGCCGACGCCATGATCTCCACCACCCCCCCCTAGTCAGCACCCCCCTCTCTCTGCCGCCCCCTCGAGCTGGGGCAGGCGAGGCCCCCAGCGGAGCACGCGCAGCGCGAGGGCTCTCTCTCCCGCTGCTCAGCATATGTTGCTCTCGCCCTCCTCCTCCTCCTCCTCCTCCTCCTCCTCCTCCTCCTCCTCCTCCTCCTCCTTCTCCTCCTTCTCCTCCTCCTCCTCCTCCTCCTCCTCCTCCTCCTCCTCCTCCTCCTCCTCTAGGTCCGTCATCGGGCTTGCGGCCCACAGCGAGAACAAGAAAAAAAGGCAAGAGCCCCACGGACGGAGGGCGGCTCCTGCGCGCTCCTCCGCGCCGCGTGCACGCCGTCCCTTCCTCATCGCGCTGCTTTCTGAGTGTGCTCGTTTCTACGGTGCTTCTGGCTCCTTTAGGGGCCAGGAAGAGGCCCGGGATAGAACAAGTAGAGATGAAAGGATCTTGGTCCCCCAAAGACCCCCCAAAAAGCTCTCAAACAAGTGTGCTCGTTTCTAAGTGTTCCTGGCCCCCCAGGGGGCCAGGAAGAGGCCCAGGATAAAAACAATTAGAAATAAGAGGATCTTGGTCCCCAACCCCCCCCCCCCCCCCCCCAAAAAAAAAAACTCGAAGAATTAGAAACTGAACAGTGTGTACACTCGCTGAACAACATTGCACGAAGCTTCCTGGGTGGAGGGCGGCTCCTCTTCAAAACGTGGCTCTCGCCCTGGCGCCGCGCACAATCGTTCTCTAGGATCTCCAGGCAGCGCATCGGATGGAGCTCGAAATGTGGCTCTGGCCTTAGCGCCGCGCAGATTCGCCTCGAGGCTTTGCAGCAGTTCGAAGGCTTCTCACGGTTGACGTCCCAGAACTACTGTTTTGGCACGATGTCGGACTGCGATGGCGCAACAGTCACGCTGATTTGCAGCGTTGAAGTCCCAAGAATGGTGTTCCGGCACGGTTGAGGATCGCCAAGACGCAACGGTAACGATGATTCGCATTCGCGGCGTTGAAATCCTAAGAACGGTGTGCTGGCACAGTTCCGCTTTTTTCAAACGGCTGTTTACCAACGGGGCACTTCCCTCCGCACAAATGAGCCCTTGTAGGGGCTTGTGAAGAGGAACTTGGAGGGAGGGTTCATCCCACTATTGTTGATGAGTCTTGGGTTTACACTGGTCCTCCTACTCCTCCTCCTCCTCCTCCTCCTCCTCCTCCTTCTCCTCCTCCTCCTTCTCCTCCTCCTCCTCCTCCTCTTCTGTCTCCCTCCGTCCCTCCCTCCTCCTCCTCCTCCTCCTCCTCCTCCTCCTCCTCCTCCTCCTACTCCTCCTGATCCTCATCTTAATTCTCCTTATCCTCGTCCTCCTCATCCTCCCCCCCCTCCTCCTCCAACGACGACGGCGGGCGGCGCTGGTGACGACGGACGACGAAGATGACGATCAAACAGAACACCTTTCTTGGAACGGTGTCTAGACCGATACTGTCTCCATGCCTCAACGAGCGTGGCAAGCCCAGGCATCATTCGATACGATTGTTTCAATGCGCGGCCGCAGAGGTCCCGACCATTTCTCTGGCGCAGGTTTTCTCCCGAAGGCCGAAAGCGGCCCCAGCAGGCCGAGATGAAAGGAAAACGTCCACATTGATCAAACATCATGTCGTCGGAATCCTGAATCTTGACGACGGCGGCGACGACGACGACCACGACGACGACTGCGACGGCGGCAGTGCTGGCGACGGCGGTGATGGGTCGCTTGATTTTCGGATCAGTCTCTGGCGGCCGTTCGGGACGATCTATGCATCCCTAGAACGCTCTCGGCGAGGCACAGCTGCTGGAACGCACCCCGAGGCCGAAAAACCACCGAGAACCGACTGCGGCGATGACGGGGGAGCCTCCGCGGCGTCGCCGGAGCGGCGCGAGATCTCCGCGGCGGCTCTGGGCTTCCTGCGGCACGTGGGGGTGGCGCGGGCGCTTGCCGGGCGCCATCGTCCTCATCGTCGTCGCCGTGGTGGTCGTCGTCGTCGTCGACGGCGCTGCCGCCACCAACGCCTGCGGCGCTGCCGTCGTCGCCGCCGCAGTCGCCGCCGCCGTCGAATCCTCGTCGTCCTCATCGGTCTCCTCGTCTCTCTCGCATCCTCCTCCTCCATCATCCTGCGCCTCCTCCTCCTCCTCCTCCTCCTCCTCCTCCTCCCTCCTCCTCCTCCTCCTCCTCCTCCTCCTCCTCCTCCTCCTCCTCCTCCTCCTCCTCCTCCACCTCCTCCTCCTCCTTCCTCCTCTTCCTCCTCCTCCCCTCTCCTCCTCCTTCCTCCTTCCTCCTTCCTCCTCCTCCTCCTCCTCCTCCTCCTCCTCCTCCTCCTCCCTCCTCCCGTCCTGCTATTTCTTCTCCTATGTTATTGTCGACCGCCTCCTCCTGCTTCTTCCACAGCTCCATACACTTCCCCCGTCCATCCCCCAAAGACCGTTTGTCCTGCTGCTGCTGCTGCTGCTCCTCCTCCTCCTCCTCCTGATTTTCACGTTCCTCCCTCGCCTATCTCTCTCCGAGCCCGTATCGGCGGTCAAAGGGCGATTGGGGGTCGATACGTTCTCCCTGGGCCTACCCCCCCCCCTGACGCTGCCCCTCACCAATCCTTCGCCTCCCGCCTCCCACCCTTGGAGGGCACGGGCGGTCTCACCTGGCGGCCCCCCTGTGAGGAGGTGGGCGGTCGCCGTCGCCGCCGACGCTGCGGTCGGCGCCGTCGCCCTCGCCGCTGCGCCGCCGCTCCCGTCATCGCCGCCGTCGCGCCCCCTCCCGTCGGGGGCTGCTGACGGTGTCCCTGGCCCAGTGTGCCCCCAGATTTTCCCTTGGATGCCCAGGGAACGGGCACCTTGAGCTGGCCCCCCCCCTGTAAGGGGGGCCGCGTTCGCCGTCGCCGCCAGCCTTGCAGCCATTCCCGCCGCCACCGCTGCGGTCGCCGCCTCCGTTGCCCAGCCCTGAATTCCTTGAACCACTGCTGATAACAATTGAGAGGATTTGAGTCGTTTCAGATTAGGCCTTAGGCCAAAGTCTCTGTCTAAGTCTAGTGCTTGTTCTGTCGACGTCAGGGTCCAAAACGTCACAATCCCTTACCTCCGGCGCACCGTGGCGTGCCTGCCACTCGCGGGCGGCGCGCGCGCCAAGCCGGCGGCCGCCCCCCGCCCCCCCCGTAAGCAGGTTGCCGCCGCCGCCGCCGCCAGTCGTCGCCGACGACGTCGTAGTCGTCATAGTCGCCGCCGTCGTTGTCGTCGCTGCCGCCGTCGCCAGTCGTCGCCGACGACGGCGTAGTCGTCATCGTCGCCGCCGTCGTCGCCGCCGTCGCAGTCGTCGCTGCCACTACCGCTATCGCCGCCGCCGCCGCCGTCGCCCCCGCAGTCGCCGCCGTTGTCGCCGCCGCCGCTGCCAGCGTCGTCGTCGCCGCCGCCGTCGTCGCCGCCGCCGCAGCAAAATTTTGCCCTCGGCCCTCGAAGTTCAATGGGGAGGCCATTTGGGCCCTTTTCGGACCTCCGGGTGCCTCCAGAGACCGCCGGGGACCTCATGAAATCAGGACACAGGGCGGAAGCAACACTGAATCTAGCCGCCGCCGCCGCGTCGCCGTCTCCGTCGTCGTCGTTGCCGCCACGGGGGACGATGACAGGAAAGGACGCGTTGACGGTGGAGGGATAGGAGATGAAAGGAGGGGACCTCCCCCTCCCCCTTCCTCACCCCTCCTCGACCTTTCCCTCACCCCGCTCCGCGTCCGCTTCCCAGGGTGACTTGCGCCACGTAGATCGCACCATTGCACAGCACACGGCGAAGCCAATATCTTGCTTAACATGTACTATCGATTAAAGAAACTCGGATCAACCAACCTCCCCCAACCGGGATAATCCGCCTGCCTCTTGTGTGTTGCAGTTTATATACGACCCTGCCACATCGTCAGCCCTGAATATGATCGCGTACCATTCCAGTCCAACGGACATCGACCCTGCCCACCATCCTTTGGAAGAAACTATGCGCCCCGTCCACTTATCAAACATCATCAGGTTTCAAGGATATCTTCCAAAAAACGGGACGAAGTGCACGCGCGCGCGTCGTCGCGCACGCGTGCCGTAAATGTCAAAAACCTCCGTGCCCTGAAGGAGTTCAAAAGCGAGTGCCTCAGACATATACCAAACACGCGCGGCTTTGCAACATCCGTTTGAAGAATAAATGTGCGCCCGCGCTCTTGCGAATTCGTGAAAAACCGTTTGGTTTTCAACGCGTTCATCACATGCGTCCTACCGGGCCTTCTGCGCGAACGTCTCAAAATCATTCGAACGTCTTTTCGCGCGTGCTGTGGGGGCACGATTTCCGTCAACTGATACCACGCGGGCAATTCGCGCGCGTCGGCCGCGTGGGCATGGCGAACTGCCTCGAAACCTTCATCACCGAATCGAAAACACCATCATCGGTGCCGGCATTGGCCTTGCCGTCGCTATTGTCACGATCTTTACCATCACCGCTACAACCATCATCGTGTCTACCATTGTCGACATCGCCATGATATCACGCCCGCCAAAATCACCGATTCGAAATGGAACGCCCGCGCGTCAGCACGGCTTGCGAAACGCGCCGGGAACTGCCCAGCGGTCTGGGTCAGCGCCACCGCGGTCGCGTCGGTCGCGCTGAACTAGTTGGCCGCTGCGCGCGCGAGCGTACGCGAGCTAGTGCGGCCGCACAAATGCACCAGCCAGCGCCGAACACTCATCGCGTTCGCCGCAGCATGGGTTGAGCAAGCCAAGTTGCGGGCGGGCGTGTGTGATGGTACCGCGAGCAGCGGGGTTGACAACTCGACATTTTCCAAAAGTACTTGCACCACGTAGCTTGCACCACATATTCTCTCCTGCTTCAAACGAGATTCGGATCTCTTTCCCCCCCCCCCCCCCTCGGGTTTGCTGACGTTTCCCCCCCTGGGATTACGCCGTTTACATATGATTCTGCCCCGCCGCTCATTTCAAAGAATTTGTACTTGTCACTGGGGGCCTGATAGCCCCCCCCTTCACCCCTGACAAATGATACCATGCGCGCGCACTCGTTCATCAAACAGCATCAAAGGATCCCAAGAACCCCTTTGCAAAGGCAACGTGACAAAGTCCGCGCGCGCGTCGTCGCGCGCGCATGCTTGAATCTTTCAAGTGTTTGGAACATTCCGTCGTAATTTGAAAATCGAATGATCCGGAAACGCATCAAACACACATGGTTTCGCAACCAGAAATGGCAAGGAAGCATGCGCTTGCGCTCTTGCGCATTCTGACACAAGTCATTTGCCTTTCAAATTGTTCATTTAATCGGACCACCCGACGGGCCTCCCGCGCGAACATGTCGAGATCACTCGCAAATCCTTGCGCGCCCGCTGGGTGGGCACGAACTGCTTTGGAAACCTTCATCGCCGAGTCGAGGACACCATCATCGTAATCGGCGTGATCAGCATCAGCGCCGTCATTGGCCTTGCCGTCACCGTCGCCATCACCGTTATTATCATCGCTGCCACCATCATCGTGTCTCCCAGTGTCGATATCGCCATGATACCGCGCCCGCCCGAATCACCGACTCGCAATGAAACGAACGCGCGTCAGCGCGGCCTGCGAAAAGCGCCAGGAAGTGCCCGGCGGTCTGGGTCTGGGTCTCGGTGCCCGACCTTAGCGTCACCTCCCTCCACCGCCCTCCCCGCCTCTCTGACACATGCGCGCTTTCGTTTATACAATTACAACAGCAGTTTCCAAGACACCCCTGCAAAGACACAGTGGCAAAGCCCACGCGCGCGCGACGTCGCGCGCATGCCGCACCTGTTCAAAAACATAGCTTCCGCAATGGATTCGGAATCGAGTTTACCGAAGACATAGCGAACAAGGGCTTTGCAACTTGACTTCTCAAAACAATCTCCGTGCGCCCTTGCGAATTTTTACGAGATCATCTGTGTTACAGGATCTGTTTGAACCAAAAAACAACAACATGCAACGCAACTGGCCTCTAGCACGCGCGTGGGTCGGAATCATTCGAACGCCTTTTGCGCGCTTGCTGGGTAGGGGGGCACGATCCGCGACACATAACACCATGCGGGCCGCTCGCGCCCGTCGGCCGCGCGCGCATGTCGATATCCTCCAAACCCTTCATCGCCGACACGTGGATATCGTCATCGTCACCGGCGTGATCGGCATCGGCGCCGTTAGTGGCTTTGCCGTCGTCATCGTCATGTCGTCCACGCTGCAATGATACAGCGCCCGCCCGAGCCACAAATTCGCAGTGAAGTGCCCGCGCGTCAGCGCGGACTCCGACACGCGCCGGAAAGTGCCCAGCGGTCAGCGCCACCCCCTCCGCGTCGGTCGCGCCAAACTTGCTGGCCCCTCTGCGCGCGAGCCTGCGCGCGCTAGCGCGGCCGCAGCGATGAACCAGCCAAGCACACACAATCGTGGAATTAACAACCCCGAGCTCTTCGACATCAGTTGCACAACATGCATTGGATGATCTGTACGTACATCTGTCATTTGAGCACGTGTCTTGGACCAGCTATGTTGCGCCACGTATATGCGTCACCCGACCTTACACCATACACATATATACATATATATATATATATATACATATATACATATATATATGTATATATATATATGTGTGTATGCATACACATATACCTCTCCGCTGCCGTGCCGCTGGGCACGGGGTGGACGCGTCCTCTGGTCATTTGCCTCATCCTCGGAGCCTCACTCCTCACCCCTGAGGATTCCTCAAGAAGGACCTGGGGCCCTCGCTGTCAAATCTCCTGGACCTTGGCGCGTGCCCCCTGGGGCGTCCTGATCCACCGCGTCCTGCCGCCCGATTTTTTCGGGCCCGCGAGGGCCCCAACACGCGCCGAGAGAGCCTCGACATGCCCCCCAAGACGGTCTAAGAGGGCCTCGGCTCGCCCCGAACGATCGCTCCATGACGCGTGAAGTGGCCCCCAGACGGCCCGAGAGGCCTCCGAGACGCTCCAAGAGGCCTCCAAGAGACCTCAGAAGAGGGCCCCAAGAGGCAAAAATCATTGACTTCACGGAGGTGTTTGAAAGACTTTGGTGTTCTTGCCGTTTTGGCTTCCCGACGCTCCCGGACGGTCCGAGAGGCCCCAAAAGCCGCCCCAAGAGGGCCCGAGAGGCCTCCAAGAGGGCCACGAACCGGCCCAAGAGGCGCCCAAGACGGCCCAGGAGGTGTCCAAGACGCCCCAGGAGGGCCCCAAGATGGCCGCAGGAGGAGCCCAACAGAGGGAGCACGAAGCGAAGATCCGAGCCGTCCGCCCCAGGAGGCCATCAGGAGGCCCCCGGGGCCCCCAGGAGGCCCTCAAGAGGCCCCCAAGAGGCCCCAAGAGGACCCTTAGAGGCGCAACAGAGCACCCAAGAGGCTCCGAAACGACCCCCAAGAGGCCTCCGAACTGCCTCCAAGAGGCCTCTGTGAGGTCTCCCACGAGATCCCAACAAACATCCAATAGGCTTCATACCCACAACCCAGGCACGGTAGCGGGATGGGCCGAAGTTGTTCAACACCGATTGCACCACACAGCTTACATCACATGAATTACACCACATAAGTTGCACCACCAAGCATGCCAGAACAGCAACTGTTTGGGCTCCACGCTGGCTAACATAGCCACGCACACACACAGAGACACACACTCACCCACCCACACACTTGTATGTGTATATGTGTACATACATATGTATACATACACATATACACCTATATATATATATACACACATAGAAACATACATATACATAGATCCCTCGCTCTCCCCCGCCGTTCCTGCTGGGCCGCTGGTGGCACCGGCAGCAGCTGCCGCGCCGAAGCTGGCGCTGAGCTTCCTGCAGGCTCGGCGGGGTCAGCGGCCGCTCCCAATCGCCAGCGATGGCCGACCAAACGGAAGGGGCCCTTGAAGCATGCCGATCAGCGCGTGGCCGCTGAGAATTCCAAAACGCGGATGCTGGCGCCTCGGGGTCCCGCACCGACAGCGCTGAGTCACCAGTGCGCCCAGCCTTGGCGTTGAGACAAGGGGCGACACGCGGCTGAGGTCGGCTGGTGCGGGCATGAAATCGAGACTTCTGGCGCGACCAGCCTCCCATTAGTTGGTACCCTCTCTGCCGGCAGGCAACCCGCTGGAACATGCGGCGGGCACCCTGCTCGGGCGCTTGTCAGAGAAAGGGCAACGGCAAGAGCAAGGCAAGCAGGAGCAGACGAAGGGTGGAGACGGGGAGCTAGTATTGATTTTGCGCGAGCGTCTCTGAAAAGCTGTTTTCAGCCAGCGAGCCTTAAAGCAGCAGCAACGAACGAATCGAAACGAACTGACGAACATCTACGTGGGGGGAGTGCCACATACGTTTGACTTGGAGGCCCCAGAACACGTACGAAACGACGCGTTTGGAGCATTACGCCGTTTGAAACGAGGGTACGCTGAGCATGTCGGAGAGTAAACGCACTCAGTTTGAACAAGTCTCGGCACACATGATGCGCACTATGGCACTCGGTTCCGACAGTCGCAAGTCTTCTCTATGAAGGCCGCTTATGGTTACCAGTCGGTTGACTACTAACGGCAAGCACTTCAAAAACATCTCAACAGGCTCGACATTCTGGGGCTCATGATGACTTCCTCTTAGATGGCAACAAATCATCCGCAGACGCGTTTGATGTGGCGCGTCTTTACACAACGTTGACGCCAGCTTGCTGCCAACAATCCGAGGGGGGGAGGGCCACGGAGCGCACTGAAAGAAGGAGGGGGGGGCCACGACGGCACCCGCACGCCCCTGGCCCTCGACCCCCTCCTCCTGGACGCCCCCGAGCCGTGGAGCAGGGCCGCCCTCGGGGCACGGGCCGGGGCGCGCCGAGCCCGATCCCGCCCACCCCCCCGCCGCCCCTCGACGGGCAGCGAGCTTCCAGCGCCGCCCTGGCGCCAGAGAGCACCGGAGCGGCAGCCCCGAGCCGTCGACCCCACTAGACGGCGCCCGGGGGTCCGCGAGCGCGCGCAGCGGGTCCTCAGCTTGGGGGCCCGCGAGCGCCGCAACGGGTGCCTGGGCGGCCCCAGCGGCGGGGGCGGCGGCGCCGCCGCCTTGGGTGCCGTGCAAGGAGGACAGGCACATTCCCATACCCCAATTTCATCCACCCTCTTGTTCCCAATGATCCTGTGGTGTTGGGTCTTCGTTTTGAAGGGACAACGCCAAGCGTTCACTGCTCACCCACTCCTCCTCCATCTCCTCCCTCTTCCCATCCGTGCCTCTGCCTTCCGCATGCCATCATCACCGTCATCATCGTCATCATCGTCGTCATCATCATCATCATCATCATCATCATCATCAACATCAGCATCATCATCATCATCATCAACATCAACATCATCATCATCACCATCGCCACCGCAATCATCCACATCCTCAGCATCATCCGCAGCATCATATCCGCATCATCAACACCATCATCATCATCATCATCATCATCATCCTCATCATCATCATCATCTGCATCATCATCGTATTCATCATCATCATCATCATCATCATCATCATCATCATCATCATCATCAACGTCATCAACATCATCGTCATCGGCATTACCGTCATCCTCATCATTTTCATCATCATCAGCATCGTCCTCAGCATCATCATCATGAGTATGATCACCATCATCAGAATCCTCACCATCAGACTTAGCATCATCGCCGTCACCAGCACCATTATCATCATCACCATCATCATTACCATCATAATCCGTATCAGCATCAGTACCAACATCTGCATCAGCATCACCAGCATCATCCTCGTCGGCCTCGTCGTCATCATCATCACCAGCATCATCATAATCATCATCGTCATCATCATCCTCGTCAGCATGGTCGTCAGCATCGTCCTCCTCATCATCATCAGCAGCATCATCGTCATCACCATCATCATCAACATCACCATCACCGTCACCATCACCATCACCACCACCACCATCATCATCATCAGCATCATCATCATCATCACCATCGCCATCACCATCATCATCATCATCATCATCATCATCAGCATCAGCATCAGCATCATCATCATCATCATCATCAGCATCATCATGATCATGATTACCCTCATCATGGCAGGCATTGTTCGCATGGCGGCCACAGTCCATTTGGGTACACCCCTTACACGCTACGCTGCCTCATAGGGAGCTCCACCGAAGGCCTCAGTGGCAGGGTCCGCATGGCGGCCTCGCGTCCATTTCGGCTCACCTTCACACGCTTCGCGGCCACATAGTAGGGAGCTCCACCGAAGGCCCCAGCGGGAGGGTCAGCATGGCGGCCTCAGTCCATTTCGTAACACCCCACACACGGTTCGCGGCCCCATATGGAGCTTCACCGAAGGTCCCAGTGGCAGGGTCCGCATGGCGGTCTCGGGCCCATGTCGGCACACCCCTCAAACGTTTCGCGGCCCGACAGGGAGCTCCACCAGAGGCCCCCAGTGGCAGGGTTCGCATGGCCTCAGGCCATTTGGCACACCCCCCACACGCTCCGCGGCCCTATAGGGAGCTCCACCGGATGCAGGGTTCGCATCGAGGCATCGGACAATTTCTGCACATCCCTCACACACACACTCACACACACACACACTCACACGCGCTTTGCGGCCCCATAGGGAGCCCCCGGTGGCAGGGTTCGCATGGTGGCCTCGGGCCATGTCTGCAAACCCCTCACATGTTTCGCGGCCCAACAGGAAGCTCCACCGAATGCTCCACTGGCAGGTTCCGCATGGCGGCCCCGCTCCATTTCGGCGCACCCCTCACACGCTTCGTGGCACCATAGGGAGCTCTGACGAGGGCCCCAGTGGCAGCGCCCGCAAGGCCGCCCCGCCCCATTTCGGCACACCCTTAACATCATGCTTCGCGGCCCCTTCAGAAGATCCAGCGAAGGCGATACTCACAACGACGGTGCTCGCTACTGCAAATGGTTGGGATCTTCGCCAGGATGATGATGTTCCAACTCTCCTGTGTGTTGGGTCCTCGTTTTGAATTCGCAGCGCCGCGCTCCATATACCTCCTCCCCTCCTCCTCTCCTTTTTCCACCACACTCCTCTTTCCACTTCCTCCTCATCCTCCCTTGTCCTCTCCCACCACCACCACCACCACCACCAGCTCGGCACACCTCTCACGCCTTTCGCGGCCCTGTGGGGAGAACCACCGAAGGCTCCAGTGACAGGGTTCGCATGCGTACACGGGTCCATTTCGGCACGCCTCTTACTACACGTTTCGTGGGCCCTTGGGGAGCTCAACTGGAGGCCCCAGTGGCAGGGTTCGCATGCATGCTCGGGTCCATTCTGGCGCACCCCTCTAACTAACGCTTCGCGGCCCGACAGGGAGCTCCTCCAAAGGCTCCAGTGGCAGGGTTCGCATGACGGCCTCGGGCCATTTGGCACACCCCTCAGACGCTTCGTGACCCGGGAGGGCCAAAGGCCCAAGTCACAGATTGTACATAGGTTTTGGTAGGTTCTGGGGCCCCCAAACCGGTTCACCACTCTTGATCGACCGATGTGGCGCGACTCCTGAGGAGGTGATGAAGGGGGGAGACAGACTAATGTAAAATAACAATACTTGCACTTGGGGTTTCTTGATTCCTCTCGCTTCGCGGGGTGCACGTCCAGAGCACTTGCAGTCCAGTCGTTACGGGGCCTCTCAGGAGCCTCTCAGGAGGTTCTAACGAGCTGGTAAAAGCCACTGAGGAGGCTCCAAAGGTACCCCTAAGGAACCACTCAGGAGCTTCCAAAGTGGATGCAATCAGTACCAATTGGTTGGGATTGGTACCGAAAAATGGTTGGAGTCTGACCTACTTGGTTGTAATTTCTCCTATTTTCGGCTCCAGCCCCCCCTCATCCACGCACGATCGTTTCTGTTACCCCCGGGGGGGGAGGGATGGGTTGGCCTGGATTTCGCCCGCCACGCGCGAGAGGACACAACAACAATCTCCCTCGGCACCCCTCTAGGAGAGGGATCCCGAGGGAGATCGTCCTCGCCTTTCATGGTGATAATGGATTGGCGTGCGAGGAGCGCCGTGAGGACGCCATCGGCACGCCATCCGCATGCAGAAACAAGGAACATGCCAGAACCGAGTTTCACGTACACTGTATAGCTTCCCATGAGTTGCATCCTGGCCCCCCGCCCGTGGCGAACACCGTCCCTCCGCCGCCCAGGAGGGTCGGCGGGCCTCCTCCCCCGAGGCAGCCGCGGCCTCCTCGTCCACGGCGCCCTCTTCCCCCCGCGGCGCGTCTGCTGCGGCCTCCTCGTCCACGGCGCCCTCTTCCCCCCGCGGCGCGTCTGCCGCGGCCTCCTCGTCCACGGCGCCCTCTTCCCCCCGCGGCGCGGCGGCCGTGGTCTCCTCGCCCACGGCGGCGCCCTCCTCCCCCTGCGGTGCGGCGGCCGCTCCGCTGGCCTCCTCCAGGGGGGCTTCCTCCTCCTCCTCCTCCTCCAGCGCCGCAGCGGCGCCGGCCTCCTCGAGGGGCACCTCCTCGGCTGCACGCGGGAGCGACCCTGGGCCAAGGGTGACCTTTTGGCGCGTGGTTTGGGGGAGCCGGCGGGGGGGCCAAATCGAGGCGCGCCAGCCAGCCCTGGGGAAACCCCTGTGGTCCCGCACCAAGAGGTCGCTCTGGCGGAGGGTCGCGCTTGCGCGTAGCCGATCCTCCAGCGGCGCAGCGGCGCCGGCCTCCTCGAGGTGTACCTCCTCCCACGGCGCGCTCCGGTCGGGGGGCGCCGCGCTGGTGTCCTGCCGAGGCCCTCGCCTCCGTCGCCATCGCGGTCGCCGACGCCGCCATCACCCCAGACATCCTCCGAATCTGAAATCTTCTTCTAATCCAAGGCCCCAGTGGTCCGCGGAAGATGCAAAAGCCTCCTGTCGCGATTTTTGTTCCACGCCGCCAGAAAGTCCAGCGCGGAGGTGTACAGATGCCTTCCGCGGGCTCTGACAACTGGTGACCTCCCGAATGGAGTCCGGGAACATGGGGTCGGGGGACCACGCCGCATCGCAAATGCATCACCGATGAATCGGCGGTGCGTCGGCGACGTCAGCGATGCGTCGGCGCCGTCTGCGTGAAGCAAATCGGGAACCACATCGAGCCGCATCGCCGATGCATCGGAGACGCGGTGTGATCCTCCGACCCAATCTTGGCAAGGCTTCAGGTTGCGCATAGAACAGCCCCCCCCCCAGGTAGTCCCGGCAGGCCTCACCAGGCCACCCGAGTGAGGAGCCCCAGCTGGACTCAACAGGCCCCCCGAGTAGCCTGTGACGGTCTCAACACTTCCGGCGGCGCCCCAAGGGCGCTCAGCTCCCAGTGGGTCCTGTTGAGGCCAGCTGGGACAGCCCGGGGGGCCTGCATTGAGGCCGGCTAGGACTACCTGAGGGGGCTGTCTGCGCGTAGCCCGAAACCTTACCACATCCTCCCCTCCCCTCTCGGGCGCCCCGGGGGAAACCCGACGTCATGATTTGCTGACAACGCGTCGACCCCCAGAGGTCTCAACCCAATCCCCGGGACCAACTTTTCATCTCGAATCTTCTTTTGACGGTCCCGAGGCGGGGGCCCCTGGAAGCCGAAGGTGGCAACAAGACCGTCTGCCGTGTTTTGTCGCGACGCAACGGGGCCCGTCTGCGCGAAACCCAGGGCCTGACCGCCCCATCTGCTGGGACCCCCTCTGGGAGGCCTGGAGCCAAGGAGTGAGGCTCGGGGGGCGATGAATCGGGGGGCAGCGAAGGCTGCCGAGGAAGGGGGCCACTGGGCCCTTCCAGGGCCTCGAAGGGCCCCAAAGTGGGGCCTTCAGGGCTCGAAAAGGGCACCTCTCTCCCCGACGCCACGTGTTTTTCACAGCGCCGGCCCTCAGAGGTCTTGACCCATTCAGCTGGACCAGTTTTTCATCCCGAGTTGCCTTCTGGATGGCCCCGAGGGCTGGGCAGGGTCTCCAGAGGCCGAGCATACAGACAAACAGATCTGCGATGCATTTGTCTCAATGACCGAGGGGGTCTGGGCTCCCCCCCCCCGTTT